ACCCAGCCACTGGATGGTCTCGCCGTCGGATTTGTGACCCAATTCTCTGGTCAACTGGAAAATCCTCGCCGCACAGAGCGCCGGCATCCTGATTCTACGACCTCTGCCTTCGACTTTAGTGTGCCTGTCTTTGTTCGAGCTCCTCTTCGGACCCAACAACTGCTGCTGCTGTTTCTTGCTCGCCTCTTTGTCCGCGACCACAGTCTGGAGATCCTTAACTCCAGCACGTTTGTTCTCGTCGTCGTTGTTTATATCCCCCATGCTCTGATTTTGCTGCCGAGGCGGTGGTGGGTTCAAGAAATTTGGTACTTTTTGTCGATTTGAGTTCTTGGGATCCATGAATTGGTGGGGTTGATGGTCGAGAGTGAGATTAACTCCCTGAATCAAGAAGGGTGGTGGTGGTGACCTGAAAAAAGCCCTCGACTTGTCCAAGTTTTTCAAAGTTTTTTTGTAAAAGAAATATAGAAATCCGACAAAACCCGCAAGATCCCGATGCAAAACGGAAATGAATAAAGACGAAAGGTTACGCCTTTCGATCTCTATGGGCCAGCAAAAATCCAAAAAGAAAACGCAGATTAACACAGAGGCTTGGTTGGTCTAAAGTAAAAACAAAAGTGTTCGACTTTGGTTGCCATCTCGTTTTGCTTTTGTTCATAACAGCAGACAGATGCCCATTCCTCACTCTCGTAGGCTTCTCGGCGAACCCCGAATCGTCTGAACCATATAATTATCTATCCATTTATTATATATTATCTTTTTATACATATATATTTTTTTTCATTTGTTATATATAATATATGTATAATATATACATGATTACTTTATATAATGTGTGTATATGCATTTATCAATTGCTTCACCAAGAACATCCTTTTGTCGCAAGCAAAATGGTACCCAGCAGCAGCAGTAGTCAAAGTCAACGTCTTCTCACGAAAGAAACTTGGGTTGCCAAGTGGAGACGTGACATCTCGACACGTGCCCATCGAATGAATTAACGAGTTTTGAGTTCCATTATTTATTTGGTTGGACAACATCATTACATCTCTTTATGTATGCAAGGGTTCATAAAACGGCATGAATGGAATCATCTTCGGCATGTTCTTCTGTTTGATATTTGATCATTCGTGATCATGGATGGATATATCGGGTTCCAATTGATTTTGATTTTATATTTGTATAAAATATATCTCATAATTCTTTATTTTAAACTGTAGTCAATGTTTTAAAATCTCGAATAAAAAGATATTAAATATTTTCATATCAAATATTTTTTTTGTTCGATCATTAATATGTGTGTGTGCGTGTATATATAAATTCAAAAAATGAACACCAGTTATATTTGAAAATAAAAGCAATGAACAAAGTTTATACGCTAAATAAAAAAAATTACAATTCAAATAAAATTGGTTATATATATATATATATATATCAATATCTTCTGTTATCTGTGCTGATGTCTTTTTAGTAATAATGAAAATAATATATGACTTAGACTAGTTAAATCATGCATTAGATGGTAAGCCATTTGTGCAATTTTGGCCACTTGGCAAAAAAAAAAAGAAACAAGAAAACAAGAAAACAAAAAAACAAAAAAAAAGGTGAGAGTCTTATTAGGCAATGGCATAAATCCCATAATTTAATTTTGCATTGAACAAAAAATAAAATAAAAATATTTTCAGCGCATGAAAAAATTATTTAAAATTCAGTTTAAAATCCACTGTTCTTTGGGAACCACGATAATTTGTAACATATTGTTTTCACGTTTTTAATGATTTAATTTAAAGGCATTGTTCGAATTCGATATTGTTTATGACTTTTTTTTTGGTTATTCGACCATATATCATATCCAAATGGATAGTAATGTCAAATATAAATAAATTCATAAAGCGACAATTATGAAATTGTTCTTCATGACCTTTCGATGTTTTCAATCAAATAGGTGCGATTTGGCAGTCCAATCTCAATCAAAGAATATCTATCCATTTACGGTGCTTGTGTTGTCTATCCAATTATTCTTCTTTTTTTTATAAATATTTTATATATATAATTTTTATAATATCGATATAATAATATATAAATACAAATTCAGCAATTCCTGCCACATTTCTCTCCACCATTTACGCCTCAATATGGAATCATCATCATTGCCAAATAGAAGAAATTTTGTGAAATATACAAAAAAAAAACATTTTTTTATTTTCTGAAAAATGATTGTAAGTGGTATTTATTGTTATCATTGTTGTTGTAACTATTTTTATAATTGGATTGATGGGCTTCCGTAAGCGGCCCAGAGTGAGCATGCCATGAAATGGAAATCACACGCGCCACGTTAGGGGCGTGAGTTTCACCGCCGTAAAAATGATGCCATTTTCACACCCCTGCAACAGACCTCCAGTTCACATTCCAAGCAAATGCGTCTCTGCTGTTTTCACCTATCAAACATATACATACATACATATATATAGATGTATATATATGTAGTCATTGTGTATGATACTCTAATTATGGATTATGTTTTCTGACTGCAGTAGAAAAAGGGATGAGAAAAAGTCTCCAAGACCGCAAGGGCTTACCATAATAACCAGCCCTTGTCTCAAAACCGACATTGCAATGGTGGTACAAGATAAAGGTTGCAACTTTGACAAGAATTCAGAGAGAGAGAGAACAGCCGAAACACCAAGAAGAAGAAGTAGATCATCATACCTTATTCGAGAGCTCGGTACAGAACAAAACAAGGCGAAGATATTATTATAAGACCGAGCGATCATCACAGCAGTTATACGAGAAAACAAGGGAAGTCATAGAGCATATACTCACAGCAAATACCGATAGCCGATCTGTACTGAACTCATCCTCTTCAGTTCTCTACAGTCAATTATAGTTCTATACAATGCAACCAAGAATCCAATATCAGTCTAAAACCAATATCAGCCTGAAGTTTCCTGTGGCAGACAAAAGGGTAAAGCAAACTACAAAGAAATCTCAAGTAGACCCATGAAAACAACTGATAATATCATCTTTATGCATTCATCTACTTTTACCAATTCTTTAACAAAAAGAAGCAGAGCACACACCTTGATGGATCTGTAAAGCAATGTGGAATAGAAACCAAAAAGAAGCATTTGATTGAAACTATTTTGGAGAGGCAAAGTTCGAAACTTAAGAAAAAAAAAGGAGCTCTAAAAAAGCAAACCCACTTCGGAATTCAATACCTTTCCTCATAGTCGTCACCAAGCTTAGCATCAACCACCTCCTTAGCCACCAAGAAACCCAACATCAAAAGCACCTACATAACAACTACAAGCTTCTCCATTTTTCACAAATCTCTTATCTCCATCTGCAAGGAACAAAGCTCAGGCAGAGACAAATCAGAGGGAAAATTCGATCTGAAAACACGAAAAACGGTGCAGTGCAGAAGATATGAGTGCAGATTGGGGGCCGGTGATCACGGCAGTGGCTCTGTTCATCCTACTGTCTCCGGGACTTCTGTTTCAGCTCCCAGCAAGGACAAGAGTAGTGGAGTTCGGGAACATGAGCACAAGTGGGATCGCGATATTGGTCCACGCTGTTATATACTTCTGCATACTCACAATCTTAGTGATCGCCATTGGAATTCACATCCACTTCTAATCCACCTCTGCTTTCTCATGTAACAAGCAAGAACCCTTTGTCCCCATAGCTAACGTAAAGATCTTCAGTCTTTTTCTTTTCTCTCTCTTTTTAGCTTCAAAGGACTGATTTTTCAACTTTCTTCGTTTTTGTCAATCTTGAAGTCCTGCTAATATGTCTGGTTTCAAGAAGGACGAGAAAGGGTTGTATCCCCGT